GAATACCAGTGAAACTATATAAAGAACAACAACATGTGCTCAATCAATACCTACTAGAAGTTTTCAATGCCATATTAACCGATGCTAAAATACCTAAGTCCTGGTCAGAGGCAAATATAATATTGATTCCAAAAGAAGAAGCGGAAAAAACATGGATACAAAATTATAAACCTTTATCATTATTGAATTCTGACTATAAAATTTTTGCCTCAATAATGGCGGATAGATTCAAAAAGTACCTAATTGGTTTCATACATTCGGATCAAAATGGGTTTTTACCAAAAGACAGACTAAGCTGAATATAAGAACAATCTTAGGCATTTTCGAATTTTATGAATCGCATAGTGATCGTCAAGTGGCACTTCTGTTCCTTGATGCACAGAAGGCTTTTAATAATGTCGATTGGCAATTTATGATCCAATAGCTAAAATTAATGGATGTTGGGGAAAAAATTTTAAACGTGATAACTGCTATATATTCTGAATAAAAGGTCCAGATCATAATAAATGGAGAGACCACTGATAAATTCAACATACAGAAAGATACAAGACAAGGATGTCCTCTTGCGCCATTGTTATTTATATATATATTAGAAATTCTTGCTAGAGTAGTAAGACAAGAAGAACAGATTAAAGGACTTAAGATTAAGAAAGAAACATACAAACTCCAAGCTTATGCAGACAACTTAGCATTTATATTAGAAGACCCAGAACAATATATATGCAGTGTTATCTTCATTTTAGATGTCAAAAGGGTCTCTCTCTCTCCCTCCCTCTCTATCTGCCCTTGGTCTGCCACTCCTCTTCCCCCACTCTCTCTCTCTCTCCTTCTCTCTCTCCTTCTCTCTCTCTCTTTCTCCCCCCCTCCTATCTGCTGCTCACCTGGCAAGCTTCAAGCTGTTGTCCAACAACCTCCGGGGTAGGCAACCTCGTCTCTTTTATGACTCATGGACTTCAATTCCCAGAATTCCTGAGTCAGCCTAGCTGGGCTAGCTAGCTCTCTCCTGCCCTTCCTGCTTCCTTCAGAGACGCAGCAAAGGGAGGAGCTCCGCCCAGAAAGCTTTTCAGCTTCTCGGAGAACACACACACACACACACACACACACACACACACACACACACAGAGAGAGAGAGAGAGAGAGAGAGAGAGAGAGAGAGAGAGAGAGAGAGAGAGAGAGAGAGAGAGAGAAGCAGGGAAGTGCAATTGCCTCTCTCTGTCTCTGTCTCTCTCTGCAAAGGCAGAGGAGGCTGGGAGCCACAGGGGAAGGCTCAAAGAGCCGCATGCGGCTCCGGAGCCGCAGGTTGCCGACCTGTGACTTAGGTCATAGCTGAAAGCTCTTGACCATTATTTGAATGCTGTTCCAGAACATTTCAGTTGGAGAAGCTTCTCAATGTAGGGCTGGTTAAGTAATGCTGGACTGCTGCCTAATGCTTATCACTTTCCCCTTGTCAATTTGTCTGCTGTGGGTATAGAGTTGCCACTGCTAGCAAAACCTCCACATTGCAAACTCCACATGGCTGTGCATATTTTGCTAGGCTGTTTCAGGTCTGCTTTGGCTAGATCCTATGGGAAGTCCCCTCAGAGACTTGCTGTGACATTGGGCAGACCCATCGAGGAAACCAGTGCTGGCATTTTTAGCAGCAGCCACACCATGAAATATCCATCTAGAAATCTCTTCTTAGAGATTCCAAAAAAGACTGGTTATTTGCTAAAAAAACAAGTAATGTTCTAATTGGCAGACCAGCCTCTCTCTCTTGAGGTTTGTGAAATGTTATTGTCAATGGCTTAGCTTTAGAATTTAAAACAGCCATTCTGATGTACAAATCAGAACTCACCTGATGGGCCAGCTGTGGATTGCATGTCACAAATCCTTTGAACACAGCAGACTGTTTTCTCTTTAGCAGCAGATTGGAGGATATTGATAGAAAACAAATTTGTTGCTGTCTTTTTCCCGCTTTTCTTCTGATATCATAAATATTGCACCAGAACTCCTGTAGGTAGACAACTTTTTGCAGTCCTAACACAGTGTTGCAAAAAATGATCATATTTTTAGCCATGCTTTTATTTGCATAAACAAACAGGGTTATTTTTAGATGGGTGCAAGGAAGAGAGAGACTTTCTTACACATTGACTGAAAATATCGTCTATTCATATTAATAATAGTAGTAAAGTTGGAAGGGACCTTGGAGGTCATCTAGTCCAACCCCCTGCTCGGGCAGGAAACCCTACACCATTTCGGACAAATGGTTGTCCAGTCTCTTCTTAAAAACTTCCAATGTTGGAGCATTTACTGCTTCTGGAGGCAAGCTGTTCCACTGATTAATTGTTCTCACTGTCAGGAAGTTTCTCCTTAGTTCTAGGTTGCTTCTCTCCTTGATTAGTTTCCACCCGTTGCTTCTTGTCCTGCCTTCAGGTGCTTTGGAAAATAGCTTAAATCCCTCTTCTTTATGGCCGCCCCTGAGATATTGGAATACTGCTATCATGTCCCCCCTTGTCCTTCTCTTCGTTAAACTAGACATACCCAATTCTAGCAACCGTTCCCTATATGTTTTAGCCTCCAGTCCCCTAATCATCTTTGTTGCTCTTCTCTGTACTCTTTCTAGAGTCTCAACATCTTTTTTACATCGTGGTGACCAAAACTGGATGCAGTATTCCAAGTGTGGCCTTACCAAGGCATTGAAGAGTGGTATTAATACTTCACGTGATCTTGATTCTATCCCTCTGTTAATGCAGCCTAGCACTGTGTTGGCCTTTTTGGCAGCTGCAGCACACTGCTGGCTCATATTTAAGTGATTGTCTACTAGGACTCCGAGGTCCCTCTCACAGTTACTACTATTGAGCATGGTGCCACCTATGCTGTACTTGTGCATTTGGTTTTTCTTGCCTAAATGTAGAACCTTGCTTTTTTCACCATTGAATTTCATTTTGTTAGTTAGTGCCCAGTGTTCAAGTCTGTCCAGATCTTTCTGTATCTTAAGCCTGTCTTCTGGAGTGTTGGCTATTCCTGCCAGCTTGATGTCGTCTGCAAAACTTCTTAAGAGTTTCTTTTCCATTTTTTTCATATCAGTCTTACTACATTCAAAGAAAGTGGGGGGGGAGGTCACTTGCAAGACTACTGGTTGCTTGGCCTGCCCATGTTTAATTTCCTTTAGCCATTCCTAAAAATATAACCTATGCTTGTAATCTTGGGCCATAAGGATCATTGGCTGGGTTCACACAACGCAAAGATCCAGGAGCTTAACTTTTTTTTTCTGGCTCAACAGATTTGCCTAGTTTTTAAATGGTCTACTGGGATGCAGCTATAATAATAATAAAGTTGGAAGGGATCTTGGGGGTCATCTAGACCAACCACCTGCTCAGGAAGGAAACCCTATACCATTTCAGACAAATGGCTGTCCAGTCTCTTCTTAAAAATTTCCATTCACAGCTTCTGGAGCAGGTTGTTCTACTGGTTAATTCTTGGAGCTGGGCCAGACACTCAATTTGACTTAATTTTATTTATATGAAATGTTAATAAAAGTTAAATATACAGTTCTTTTCCAGTCATGTATTTGATGGCTTCTCACCCCTGCTTTAGATAACAGTGCATAAATAGCTCTGCTAGGTTGACCAAAGCCTATCTCGATCCAAGATTTTGTTTCTCGCAGTGCCCACTAGATACTGTGGGGTACTCACAAGCAAGAAATGAGGGCATTCCCTTCACCTGATAGTTGGATGGTACTTCCCCCAGCTTGGAAGCGTTCATGATTAATAGCCCTTACTGCGCCGGTCCTCATTGGGTAAAAAAACTATCCGAGATGATTATCGCTACGTTACATACTATTGAATTAAACAGGTTAAGAACAATGTATTTGGTTTGTAGATGAAAGGAAGGGCCAAGGTAGACTTATCTTAGAATGAGTCCTGTTAAAGGACTGCCGAGGGAGGACTACCTAAGATGGAAGCCAAGTTCTCAATAATAGCAAAATCAAACCTAGCTCAGTTTAGCTTATGTAATGATCTGATCTCTGCTAGCAATCCATCAATGGTAGGAACAAACGTCAGTTGGCTTTACACATTTAGGCGATCGAGCAGGTTGGTTTGGTGATGGCTTCCTGACCTATATGAACCTAAGCAATTGTGAGCTTCATTGCCGTCCTTCAGAACTTTTTTTTTCCAATTTCCCACTCTCGTGGTATCCTTTCCACCAGCTCAGAACTTTTTTTTTATTTGTAATTTATTGATTTTTTTTAAAACACAAATCATGTAATAATTGGTGAACAGTGTGTTTTCTGGGTTTACATTTGTAAAACAATCACTAACAATTGATTTCTATAATCCATAATCCACTTCATAATTTTAATTGATTTCCTCATTTCCCCAAAATATCCAATCATTCTGGTTGCGTTATAATAATAATAATAATAATAATAATAATAATAACAGTCGTTATTGAAATTTGTTTCTCCCACAAGATTCTAAGTATTCTGATTGGTTAAGATTTTCCCAAAAATTAATTACATTCAAAAATTTAATTCTATTTTTTTCCATATGAATCATCTCACATTTACATTTCTTAAGGAATAGATAAAATAGTGAAAAAAAGAAAGGAGAGCAAGAGTAAAGAAACATAAAAAATAACATAGTACTTAAAATATATATCCCTCCTAAGCTAATATATATTTGTTTCCAAGATTTCTTATTCTTTTTAACCATAATAAAAATATGTTTAATCTTTAAATATTCCATTTAATACATCTAGTCATTTAGTCCTTTAACTCTTATTCAAAACATTTTTATCCATTATAATTTTCTTAAATTCAATCACATTTAATTATCTAAAACATTTCCTTTATCTAAGCCATTTCAACTTTTTTATATTACTCATATCAAGAAACAGAATAAAAAGGGGGGGGAAAGCATACTATATTATTTAGGGCATTCATCCCTCTTAGAGTGACATATATATTCTAAATCTTTTCTATTTCTTTAACCATATTCAAACAAATGTTTATTTTTAAGTATTCTCTCTGGTAGGTCCCATCATCTATTTTTTTTATTCCCACTTTGGCCTTTTTTCTTTGCTCAGTATCTTTCTTAATCAATGTATTTTGCTGAGTCAAAAAGTTCTTCCATATGTTTATAAATGTTAATGTAGATATAAAAAGTAAATTAGATGAAGTGCCTTTGTACGGGGCTTCTGCCTTTCCATGTTTGTTGAAAATCTTTATTTCTTTCTCTCTGCTTCTCTTATCATTTCCTTTCTCTCCGATATTCCGGACATTTCTGCAGACCATTTTATCCAATCTGTTTTCTTGTCCTCAGATTTATTTTTCAATCTTAAGGGATAAGTAGTTTTTTTCCAATTCTTGTGGTTTTTCCCCCCACAGGGATTAAATCATGTTTCCTTGTTTTGTTAAATTCCATCTTTAAGTCTCTATTCTCAATTTTGTATCCATTTATCTATTGTATCTGCTCCTTCTCTAATGTTTTTTTCTGGGAATTTTTGTTGTTGTAGAGTTAACTTGGAAATAGATTGATTTATATTTTCAAAGTTATTTTGGATTTCTTTCTGGTTTAAAATCATTGTTATTTGAATTAGTTGCAGTATACAACTTATCTCCTCCTATGGAGTATTTATGCTTTCTTGATATATTCTTTCTACATGTCTCTGATCTATGATGGCCAAGAATTTGAGTTTTTCTCTTCTTTTCTTTTCTCTGCAAATAGCTTTAGGGTCCCGATTAAATAGATGTTTGTATTCCAAATTGTTCAAAAAAGATTTTTTTTCTGATATTTATACTTCTTTCAATAGGTGTCAGCATCTATTTGTTTTTAATATTCAAAATGAACTATTATCTTTAGAATGAGAGTCTTAACCATTCAACAATTTTAGATTTATTCAGATTTGAGTTTTAAATTTCAGGTTTTATATTTGTTTCCATTCCATATATTTTGATCCTCCATAAAAAGATTAAGTTGCCACTTCCATTTGTATAAGGGTGGGGCAGAAATCCCCCTCCTTCCCATTTAGAGGCATTTTGCTTCTTGGGGATCTTTTCCAGGAATCAAAATATAGAATAGAAAAGAGAAGATCAAATTCCTCACTCAGTTTAAAGCACACAAAACCGGAAGTCCAGATCAAAGCTTTTTCAGCTTTTAAGCCCAGTTGGTCAAATGCTGCCATTTAACAGGCCATTTCTTTGCAAAACCAAAGGTTCGGAAAACCAGCAACGATTTATACAATTTTATTGCTGTAGATACCTGAAAATTTACATGAAAACATGATTCTCAAAAGATTCTATTTAGTGATTGGAAAGTGGGGGGTAATCTGGGATCCTTTTTAGGCAACAGTGGGACCTGGGTATATGGATATGTTTGTGGGGTGGCTGCATGACTCCATATGAGCATATTGTAAATGCCACAGAAGTACCAATAGAAGAGAATATTCTAGCATGATGATGTTACCTAGCTGGGTAATAAAACGTCTGCAAGAAGAGAAACTCAGAGAGCATCAAGGACCCTACTGTCCCAGAGGTGGACAGAAATGGAAAGATATTCAGAGGTTAAAATATTTGGAATGGTCCATTTTAGAGTCAGAAAAGTTTGCACCTCACCCTAAAACAGGCTTCCATTTTACTGAGATTGTTTTATACTGAAATTAAATTGGACATGATCCCTGCAGCACTATTTTGAGCATTTCTTACTCCAAAGGCAGTCCTATTTGAGTCTAAAAAACAGCTTACTGCCTGGGAATATATTCCAATGTAGTTGGATATGGTTAGGGATATAGAAGAGATGTAGTAATATGTTACATTTTCTCTCATAACTTTTTCAAAAGTTTTCACGGGGGGCAATTCACAGTTTTCTCTCCTGCAATAATGCTCTGGATCCAGTCAAGATGATCGAAGACCTTGGTGTAGAGGCCAGGCTTATCCGGTTGGGCACAAGGATCGGGTCCCCAAAATACAATGCCCTGGAATTGCCCATTACAGATGATGGGTCCCCCAGAGTCACGCTGTTGAGAAAAATCAAACATGAAACATTAATAGCGTATCTATGAATGGGAAGTGGAGCAAACAATTCTGTCCATTCACATATAGCCCCCAATGTTTCACTTCCATGTTCCCCAATCCAGGATCCTTGTAGAAGAATTTAACTCCTTGAGTTTCCCTCACCAGAATCACCAGTATTGGTAAGTCTGGAAATCTAGACACCTAGAAGGCACTTGAGTTAGAAAAAGCTGTAACTTTGTATATTCAAGGTTAGATCTCTGTCATAGCTTTGAAAATTGGCATCATTTCTTTAGGAGTCTGTCTTAAAACGGATCATCTTACATTACATGTATCTATGCCTCCTTCCAGGACACCTGCACAGAATGTTCTGCTTGTCGCTGGCAACCTCAGTTGTGGGTGAGCTGCTCGACACACTTCATAATCGAGTAGGTTAATGTTAGCACAATGAGGGACATCGGGCAAAGTCTCTGGAAAAAATAAAAAATAGGCAAAATTCTACCTTTCACAATTTACCACCTAGATGCATATAGCTATAATTTCCATTGTCTCCAACCAGTGGAGCTGATCTCATTGCCTGGAATAGGAAGAGTTCTCTTTCAAAGCCATTCAAAGGGACTCCTGGGAAAAACAGATTTACTTAAATGTTTTTGTCAAGATATTAATAGGTCTTAAATCAGCTGATGGGCATTTGAAGGCTTCCCAAATTTCTCCGGCTCTTTATGCAAAGATTGCCTTGTTGGAAAAGTGGGGCTTTTGCTAGTTCAAAAGTTATAGAACTGATTTCGTGTCCCCTAGAGATGACCTAGAATGGGGGTCTCCAAACTTGGCCACTTTAAGACTTGTGAACTTCCACTCCCAAAATTCCTCAGCCAGCATATCTGAAGATGAAGCAGACCTGTAAGTTTGTGTTTTGTACAAAAACAAAAAGCAAGGAATCTTGTCTAAAAGATCTTGTGGGGAGGACAGATGAGGTGGAAATAGGTCTAAGGAAACAAAGGAAAAATATCATCTGAATCAGACAAAGTGGAACCTGAGAATATGGAATAAACCCCAATCCCAGCAAATCAACAAATCAAGAACTTTTGAGGATAAAAAGCAGTCCTAAAGCTCACCCACTCCTTGAGTCATCTTTAGATCTACAACTTAGGAGTTTCTGTCCGTCTAGCTCGTGCCTGGCAGCCTAATTGAGAAGGATGTGTCTAAACATGGTGCCCCAGTGGTTAGTTGAAAATTATTTCTGTGAGTCCTTAATTATTTCCCAGCTCTTGACCAAGGCTGTGTGACTTGTCTGCTCTAGCCACACCTATTTGTAGAGACCTAGGTAGAAAATAAGGTGGGCTTGCAAGATCTACCAATGTTGGCAGGCTTGAATGTGTGGATGACCAGAAGCCAAAGGTGAGAGTGCATGTAACACTTCCATGGCCTTAGTAGCAATAACAATAGCACTTAGGCCTATATGCTGCACTCTCTGGGTGATTTACAACATCCACATATTGCCCCGAACAGTCTGAGTCCTCCTTTTATCAACCTCAAAAGGATGGAAGGCTGAGTCAACCTTGAGTCCCGTCAGGATCAAATTCAGGCTGGGAGCAGAGATAGCCTGCAATACTGCATTCTAACCACTGCACCACCAGGACTTCACTCTGCAACCATCCACAGAGATTTTATATCCATCCAAGGATAGGCCAGGTTTTTGAGTTCATATTTGGTATTTTGAGAGCGAGTAGTTAATATACTCTGAAAACATCCTCCGCGAGACACTTCTCTATTTATAAAACGGCCATGGCCGTTCACAAAACACCCCATTATTAAAGGTAATGAAGTCACACAAGACTGCCATGCTAATGGGACTGTTCTGATTCCCAACAGCACTGCTATAAATAAACCTGATCATATAGGGGTTTTTTTTGGCTATACAGCATGCCAGTTCCTTACTTATTTCTTTTATTCCAAGGACCTTGTGGGTGTGGAACTGATGAAGAAATGGAATCTTAGAGAATCCCATTGTCCATCCACATTCCAATATTCATGGGTGACATAGTGGGACCTTAGAGCTAGTTGATGTTACATCAAAAACTGGGTCTGAGAATATAGACAGAGATCCCTACCTTGAGGAGATGTGATTTGGCCCCATCCCATAACACGGCAAACTGATCCCACAATGGGAGGGATGGAAGGCAAGCTGAGAGGCGCGATGTGTTCACTGTAACTAACAGGTTTGTTCAGCCTGATCAACATAATGTCCTTGTCCCATTTGGTAAAGTTATTGGTACAGTCAAAAAAGTACTTCTCCTTTGGGAATCTTCTCTGCTCCTTGTCAAATTGCACACTTCGGTCATGCACACCAACGTATATTAAGATATGTTTCCTACAAGAAAAACAACAAGAGGTTAACAACAACAACTTAAATTAAACTCTATATTACTTGGGATGGTCCTTGACCTTATTTTGGCCCTCAAGCTGGATTGTTAGCACCTGAAAGCTGGAAGAGTTACAGTCAATGTCCTAGAGATCTGGATTCACTCAAGAAATTTATTCAAGCTGATTGAATAAGCTATTTCCATTGTTTATGTAAAATCTTGAAGCGTGAATTCACCTGTGTTTAGCACTCAGAAAGCTCAGCATATAATAGGAACATTTCTTTCTTGACTTGGATGTGTATTGTGTGAACGTTGCATTTATAAATTCTAGATGACTGTGTTAAAGATAGAACCCATGTGGTTATGGTACTAATGTTATGACTTTGAATTGCGCACATCCTCTCTCAACCCAGCCTATCTCAAAGGATGGTGGGATAGATACAGACGAACACAAAATCTGGATGGTGCCCACTCTGCTCTTGTTTAGAAGAGGTATTAAGATGTAGTGCCTCACCCAGGCCTTTGATAAGGGAGAGAGAAGCCTCTCACTTCATCATCTTTTTATCTTTTGTGTTTTACTGATTTTTTTTAAAAAAAAAATTTTTATGGCAAATCCACAGAGTGAAGCAGCATATGGTTAATATTTTCTGGTTAGTTGCACAGTCAGTCAGATATTTAGACTGGATTTGGCATTTTTATCCACCTATCAAGTCCTTCTCAAGGACCTGGGGTAGGCAAAATTTTTGGTTCCATGGTATTAAAGGGTATTCAAGTAATGTTCCAGATTTTGTTATTTTTGTTATTATTATATTCCAGAAAAAAAGGAAAGATATGAATACTATGGTGAAGAAGATGGAAATTCAGCCATAAATATAAACCGCATTGCTCAAGATATGATTGTGAGGAGCAATAGCAGTAGCAGCGGAACACTCATTCAAAATGCACAGAGAAGTCACTAAAAACTAGCAGAAACATTATAAAAAAATCTGGATAGCTAAACACGAACTCCCTCAACCCTTCCACATTCTGTAATGCCCTCACCTGTTGCAGTGTTTAGCGGTGAGCACCCATTCCTCGTTGAGCAAAGTCCCACCGCAGAGAAAACTCTGAGACCAATATTCATACAAGGCTACAAGGAAACGATGTTCATTTATGTTACATTCATCACCTCCAATGACCAGCTCAGAAGACTTTTGTGCTGCAAAGAAACCAAAAAAGTTCAGTGTTCGGCTGTGGAGTAGAATAGAATCGCTTTCATTAGCAGTGTTTCTATCAGTACACTAATTTTGAGGGGTAACAGATGACTGTGGGACACACAGCATCAAACTAGTTGAATAAAATGGATTATTTGCAAATCATATATATGCCTAAGCCCATGTAGGTATATATATTTATACACACACACACTTTTGAGAAATTAATATACTAATTATGAAAATATAAAAATTAATTATTATTGTCTGTTAATTAGCTATTATTGATTGTATTTTTTAAAAAAAAAATCATGAAGCAAGACAACATGCTGTACACCAGGCATTAAGGTTGTTATTGTAAAAAATCAATAAAACTCTTACCAAAAAAAAGAAGAAAATTTTAGCTGAATTGTGGTCGAAAGTTGAGGACTACCTGTAGATGGCTAAATCTGACTTTGTAGGTCTGTACAGCTATACGTTCCAGTATTTTTTTGCACACCAGTTAGGATGCTTGCACTGGAGCAAAAAACTGGGATCATCTTAGTCAAATCAGGACAATGGCAAACATAAACAGTAATTCCTGGTTTCAGGTTTACCATCCAAGAGAAATTAAGTAGAAACAAAAAGCTTCAGATCTAAAAATTAATATTCTTCACATCTCCAGTAATGCTGCATATAGGTTAAACAGCATGATTCTGAATAGCAGCAGCCATTCTGAGGGCTGAGATCTAAGGCATCTGGCCTTAGGAGAAGCTATGGCATATTTTGCTTCACTCCTCCGCTGCTCAGTAACTTAATGGTATCACTGCCAGTCAGATTACGCTAATCAGTTGAAATAAGAAGAATAGTTCAGATGAGCTTCTAAAAAGGATGGACATTTGGAAGCATTTGGTCCAGAGTCTGATCTTGCTGTACTGCATTGCTAAGCAAAATATATGGTCTCGTGATGGGGAGAATAGGGGGCAGAAGGAGTGAAAGTGGGAAAGAGATTGATGAAAATGGAATTTAATCTATGGGAAGTTGATAACATTAGCATTTAGTTCACTAAACACAGTTTGAGCCAACACTGATGGCAGTAAAATCCCTACATACCTGTTTTGATATTTGTTTCAGAAGCAATGACCCAGATATTGCACGCTGTATAATGCAACAAATCTAACAGAATGGGAGCTAGGTTAAATCCAACAGATTTATTTTACCAGTTTGGACAAAAATCAATGGCCATCTCATGCACCATTTTTTAAAGACCACCTTAACACTAAAAACCCCTCCCCAACTTTTTTCTCAATGCATCTTATATTAATTAATAAGTTATCTTCCTCTATTGAAGTCAGTTGCCAAATAAATAGAAACACGAAAGGAAGCTGACCATATTTGGGATTATATATTTTTAACTGGCTAGTTTTGCTGATATGAATAAATGTATCAATTCATACTATCATTACAAATACAGCAATTGCACCAACTGGACCTTGTTCGCTCACTCTGTACTTGTGACCTGCTTATACATCTACAATTAATAATTACATACAAGTTGACTCCTGTAACTGGAGGTTTAAACCAAAAAAGACACCTAAAGCTCCAGCCACCCTCCGTCCATTGTCCTGGCTCTTACCGTAAGAAAGCTGTAGTATCAGAAGGTTTGCTAGCACTCTGATCAGCACCATAGCTTCAACTCTGTGCAGCAAGCTGTTTGCCTGGAATTTAGAAACGGGAATAATTTTGGCAAGAATGCACAGTTCAAAATATTTGATTAATCACTTTGTTCTCTTCCACTCCGAGGGAGAAGGACAGATGTGGAAAGAACGCCAGTTTCTCACCTGTAAGATCCCAGTTCTTTACTTAAACTTGAGATACCGTATCAGTCTAATCAGATAACCCAAGCAGAGACTTCTTGATCAAGCAGCACTTTACTTGGTCAAATTAAGCAGCTCGGTGGCCAACAATCTGGAACACTGACAGAGTTATGTCCAGAAATGTCACGTCTTAGAAAGTTGGTAGCATTGCTTTATACACTTTGTTGGCCAATTAAAATCTGACAATAGAGCCATTACATCATAAGAAAGACATCAATCATTCCTGTACACTCCCTTATTCCCTCCTTCCATGTATATTCCATCCATGTGCACATTTCCCAAGCTTGCATGAAATTTCTCTGGTGCAAGGATTAAATTAAAACTCTTGCAAGATATGAAAGATAAAGGGGGATTAGCATTATTAGAGTGGGAAATATACTACCAAGCATCGAGCTTAACTTGGCTAAAAGATTGGATGGATTTGAAAAATACTAGAGTTTTAACAATAGAAGGACATGACTTGCAAGCAGGGTGGCATGCATTCCTATGGGACCAAAAACATAAAATACACAGATACTTTCAAAGACACATAGTTAGGAATGCATTGCTACAGACTTGGGAAAAAATAAAACAAAAACATTATACAAGAATTCCAATGTGGTTATCCCCAACAGAAGCTCTGAAATACCCAAACTTATTGGATATAAATAATTAGATATAAGGAATTAGTAAATGAACAGGGAAATCTGAAAACAAAACAAGAATTGGAACAAGATATTGGCAGAAAGATTGACTGGTGGACATTTACACAAATTCAATCTAAATATACAGAGGACAAAAAATTATATGAAATCCAAAATGAGCCGCAATAATTGGATAAAATTAGAAATAAAATTAATTAGCAATTTATATAAATACCTATTGAGATATAAAATGGAAGACAAGGTTGTCAAAGACACAATGATTAGATGGGCAAAAATTTTGGATACAATATAGAATTGGAGAAATGGGAAAAAATATGGGAAATAAATATAAAATTGACTATGTCGGCGGCATTCAAGGAAAACCAGTTGAAGATGTTTTACAGATGGCATCTTCCACCAGCAAAGCTTGCCAAGATGTTCCAGAACAATTCGCCAACATGCTGGAAATGTACAAAAGTACATGGAACATATTATCATTTATGGTGGACATGCCCAGTTGCAAAAAAATACTGGACCACAATAAGAAAATGGATCGAAGAAATAATAAGCCAAGCCGTAGACTGGAAAACAGAGATCTTTTTGTTGGGTATTTTAAACAGGAAATACAATAAAGAAATATGGTACTTAATTTTACATATAATAACGGCGGCAAGACTAGCATATGCACAGTGCTGGAAAAGTGAGAATATACCATCAGAGGAAGAAGTGATAAGAAAAATCCTGAACTGTGCTGAGATGGACAAATTAACAAAAGAGATAAAAGAAAAGGAAGACACAGAGTATTATATAGTATGGAACAAGGTGTATGTCTGGTTGGAGACTAGAAATAATAGAGGAGAATAAATATGGAAAGCTCAAAAGTGAAAATATGTGTATAATAATGTATAATAATAATAATAATATGAATTATTCTTAGTAAGAAGTAGAATATGAAGGAAGGAAAATGTAAATAAGAATAGACGGGGTAATAAGGACAAATATTCTAAAGAAAAATAAGGGAGGAAATGTAAATAATAGATTACCATTACATAATTGCTGTTTAAAAAAAGGGAGAGGAATATATGTGTGTGTATGTGTGTTATGTTTTGCTTTGTTTTGTTTTGTTGGTTAAAAATAAAATCAATAAAAATTCTCTGGTGCAAAAGCTGATTAAAAAACCAAGAAACCAACAGTTAGACTAAACAATTTCCCTTTGTTCCAGAACCCTTCATATCCTTATGTAACTTGGCTCTATATCATGCAACCTGAACAGTGGTGGGATTCAAATATGTGAACAACCAGTTCTCTGTGTAGATGATGCTTCCGGAAGTCCATTCTGGGCCTGGACAACAAAAAATTAGCTACCGGTTCTGCCGAAGTGTTGCAAACAGGCTGAATCCCACCACTGAACCTGAAGCACAAAAGAACACTGATAACAAGACTGGATATGTACCTCAATAAAAACAGACCTTTCCGGAAAGCAAAAAAGCCTAATATGTGATTAATGCAGTCTATGTAAGAGGTTGGTGCAGAATTCACTTCAGCTTTAGAACAGAAAGAAAAAATATTTTTTTCTTTTAATTGGAAATATTTTTAAACCTAAAAAAGCCAGGGCACTTAGACCATATAAAGGCAACCACACACTCAGTTGACATCATCTTATTTGTTTGGATGATGTGGAAAAATGACTGTTTCCGTATTATGAATAGTGGGGGCAACTGATACTAACTTAAGTCCAACTGGTTTGAAAACACTCCACATTTTCCATTGTAGGATTAAGTTTTGGAAAAGGAGATCAGGAAAGCTGGCTATGCACAGCACTAGACTGATGCTTTCCACAGCTGTAATTTGCTTGAATTTGGCTTGTTTAAAATTAGCCTTCACCTTTAAATTTCATTTCCCAGGCAGGATGATAATTGTGGAGAATTAGGGAAGCTGAAGTCTGTACAACTGGGGGGAGGGTATCCAGTTATGGTACCAGAATGGCTCAGGAATTCTGGGAGTTGAAGTCCACAAGTCATAAAGGGAGACATAGTTCCCGACTTCCGCTCTAGAAGCAGCTGGGCTTTTGGGGTTGGGACCCAACAGGAAAACAAGGGGCGGAGCTAGAGCATCCTTGCTCCCATTCTCCCGGTGCTGCTCTAGCTTCCCCGTCGCTGATTCTGGCATCTTGGTGGCCTCTTCTGCAGGTGAAAGTCACTTTGAGGAAGCCGCTGCTTTGTCGGCCTCATTGCGGTGAGAAGCCGGGACCTCGCTCGCAGCCAGCCGGGAAGAGGAGCCTGGCTGCTCCGGGCCTTGCTTCTGTCCTCAGAGGTGTTTCCCTGGCAATGCCGACCCTGGGAAGAGCGCGGGAAGGCCCAATGCTCAGGGCGCCTCCACCCCGATGTAGGTCTTTGTTTCGCAGGCTGCGTCGTCCTGGCCATTGGCACATCAGTTTGAGGGATGGGTAGAGATGGAGAAAAAAAAACCTGGAAAAATGAGGAAAAAATATTTCTTCCTCCACTTTTTTCCCAAAACTATATTTTAAAAAATGGGGGGAACCCCTCTTTTTCCCCCAATTTTTCCAGTTTTTTTCCAGGCCTCCCCATCTCCAGGGGTGAGGAAGGTTGGAGTCCAGTGGATGCGGTAGCAGCAAGAGGAGAAGGTCAGGATGCTTTGGGAGGTTTGGACCCCAAACAGCCACAGTTCTGGTTCTGTTGATGGGGAACCTGCCTTGCCTTCCCCGGGCATCCATGGAGGAAGGGGCTCATGCAGACAGTCCTATTTTTCTTGGTTGCCTCCCCTTTTTATGCTTGGCACCCCCACCCCCCAACTACTACAAAAAGGGGGCTCAGGGAGGGAGGGAGGGAGGGAGGGGGTGGAGGAGGTTGGTTTGGGTGAAATCTGCCCTCTCAATTTGTCCTGGGCAGAAGAAGTTATTTCCATTCAGACCAAGCCCTTTGTGACCTCACCCAAAGACAGTCTTCTCTGTAGTACAGGTAGTCCTCGACTTAATGAGCACAGCTGAGCCCAAGTGAGAAATTTGTTAAGTGAATTTTGCCCCATATTATGACTTTTCTTGCCACATTTGTTAGCGCATCAATGCAGTTGTTAAATTAGAAAATTAGTTAAGTTGGTAACACTGTTGTTAAGCGAATCTGGCTTCCCCCACTGACTTGGCTTATCAGAAGGTCACGAAAGATGATCATGTGACCCCGGGACACTGCAGCCAGCATAAATACAAACCAGTTGTCAAGCATTGGCAGGTAAATTGCATGACTGTGGAGAAGCTGCAATGGTCATGAGTGTTAAAAATGCTGTTGTAACTTTGAACATTCACTAAATGAACTGTTGTAGGGCTTCCTATAGCAAAGGAAAACTGTTTGAAAAGAATGTGCATCCAAGCAGACTTAATGCAAAAGGTAACCTTGCAGCCAAATGACACTATTCCACAAGTTTAATAAACCATCATTATCATTAGTTGGGTGACAGTATTGGCCCAGATAGCTTGTCTTTTCTTTTCATCATAGATTAGCACTTACATGAAGATTAGGAACATTAGCAAGAAGGTTGGGGTACATCAGATTCGGGCATCAAGATCCTCCCCCCCCTCCTTGCTTTTGCCTTGCTTTTGCTAAAACAGCTTGAATTTCTAATAGCCGAATTCTCACAAAAGCTGGGGTAGCCTTGAAATGGAATGGGGCAGAAACTATGGTTTGGTGAATTGTGGGAAGCCACTGTTTTATCATGTCAGTTACAAATGAAGCCCTCATACAAGTGTTTTCTTTGTGAGAATACAACATCTGTTTTGTATCTGAGCATAGGCTGCTGTTGAACCCAGCTAATGTGTATAAATCTTAATACTACAGGTAAGGGGCACACACTATATCACATGTGGCATGTCATTTTTCTTATTGTTTTCCTGTCTGCAGGCAAGATAACTTTGTACCTTTCATCCCCCCCCCCCAGGTAATCATTTTAGGAAAGGTGCTCTTCTCTTATTTAAAGTGTCATGAAGTCTTAATTAAAGGGACACAACTAGCAATTTAATGAAAACTTATGCTTTCTTCCCATTATTCAATTGAAATATTTTAGGAGCTATCATTTTGGTAGATGCAAGTTTCTTTCAAACTGCATCTAGATTGAACTAATAAACAAGCAAGATGTTTATTTAGTCATCTGTTCAAGGTTCAGGATGTTTAATTGTTTATTAATCTGATTATCCTATCAACCACACCCATTTTTATTATTTTGGGTCAAAGCCAGCAAGCAGAACCGCAAATAAAGTATCTGCTTTCAATTTCTTGTGAGCATTCTGATGTCATATATATCATTTCTGTTCAGTAGGCTAGAATATATATCTAGAACTGATTTGCTAAAATCTAGCTTGTCTGCTGTAAAGTTTAAGGAGAAAACCATATTTCCAGTCTGCTATCAGAAGGTTTTTTTTAAAACGGGAAGGAATATTAATGTATTAAATTAAAATAGCTGTTTGTCACTGGTAAGGATGCCAAGGCTTTTTTCTATTTAGCAAGAAGGAGTTCCAGACATATTTCTATAGCTGATGTGAGCAGATTTAATTTCTTTCACTGATTGCAGCTAGGAAAATCAGACTGTACCAGGAGTCCTTGACAGGCAACTCAGTTGTTAAAAAAAACTGTTAACTAAGTCCAATCTCATGACCACAAATGTGCCTGGCTGAGGAATTTTGGGAGTTGAAGTCCACAAGTCATAAAGGTTTGAAGATCTCTGCTTTATAGTGTCCAAAGAATACTATCCCAAACATCTGGGTGAGGACAAAGGGTGGGAAAGGTCTCCAAAACCTGACTCACAAGGAAGCCAAGTAAAAGGGTAGCTCTTACGGCCCCTTCCCCCATTCCTCTGACCTTTGGAATGTTCACTCCAGCACTGAGATAATTGGAAAAGAATTCATGTTGGTATTTACATTCATTACAGAGGAAAGGATTACAAGAAAGTAAGAAGGCATACAATAGGGAGTAGACAATGATTTGTGAGCAGGGTTCTACTTAGAATAAAATATCTAGGGAAATCCTGTATTATATTCTTTGGGGAATAAAATTGCCATGGGGAAACCTGATCTTTTTCCTAAGGAAATGTCTTCTAATAGTTGACATTTTGAAGCACCAGGATATATCAATTTCCTGATTTCATATCTATTTTCAGAAAATGTCTGAATCCATTAGAAGCAAGATAGGGAACTACAAAACAGCTCCATGTGACAGTAGGTTCCCCAACCAAAATCAAACACGGGGCTGCTGGTAGAACTACCTTGGTTAGTATAATTGATGTATGTGAATGTTGGCGTCTCTGCATTATGGATAAGAAATGATTCTGAGAAACGGTGATCAAAGGAATGTCCTGTTCTTTTGCAGGTTGACAACTGGGATGAACTTCGGGAAAATGGCGCTTTTCCAGACAAAATCTGATGGTCTTTTGTCTGCCAGTATCTTCCCCTACTCAGGATGTTGCACTGCTGAGTCCTTTCTGTGTGTTCCTCTGAAGGATTGTCTGAAATGGCTCTTGTCTGCTTGAGCATCTGAATCATTTAATAGTACAAAATCTTGGATATTACCCATTCTAATAAAATGCATAATACCCATGCCTGTGTTTATCCTGCTAACTCCGTTAATGATTCATGAATGTGTTCTACCACTTGCTTTATCTATGGTAATGTTCTCAAAGAATGGGACAGATGTTATTACTGTGGTATATGTGGTGCTTTCTCACTGGACCCCTGAAAAAACCCTAATATGTGATTAATGCAGTCTATGTGAGATGTTGGTGCAGAATTCACTTCAGCTTTAGGCCATAGGGAAACCTGATCTTTTTCCTAAGTATTCTGGAACCTGAACTATGATGCCTTGTAGTTCTGGTCCAGACAGCATAAACTCAACAAAAATGATTTTACTCAAATATTTATTGTGCAGGAATTCTAAACAGAGACTTACTATGCTGTAGATGCATCCAGTCTTCGCATATCTTTCCATTTTTCGGAGGTAAAAAAGCAGTAATTCTCCATATCAGCTGAGCGTGGTTACAGATGCCATCCATGCGTACACATGCTTGGTTTCACAAAGGGATTTTACAATACTCGAACACAGTTCTAGCTTGCTACAATCCGGTCCAGCACACTAAGGAAATGTCTCCTGACATTTTGAAGCACCAGGATATATCAATTTCCTGATTTCATATCTGTTGTGTCCTGAGCCTGTGAAAGCAGGCTTGGGACGTTGCAACAGTCCCGGGAAGTTGCAAGCTGCCCGGGACCAGACTGGCTGGCGCCAGCACTCGCACACATGTGCGAAGTGCAAGCGCGCCAAATGTTCCCGTTTGGCCCGGGGTTCGTCTTTAAAAGGAGCAGAGGAACTTGGGTGTTGTCGGCGTTGTAACCAGCATGTTGTATACCAATAAAGAGGCTCCTGAGAACTACCAACTACTTCATGAGTTATTTGCCATTCGCTGAGGACTTAACACTGGCGACGAAGGTGGGATGCCTTACAAAGACTGCAGACAAATTGTAAGCTTACCCTGGAGTCCTGAGCAGCAGGAAACGTTATTAAATTCAGCAGCTGCCTGCCAATTCAGCAAACGTTGGAGGTAAGCTGGCTGATAGACCCTTCCTGTACTACTGAAAGATGGCAAAGATAGGTAGGCTTTCCGAGTTCGATGTCACGCATCCGGAAAGATGGGAGTCTTACGTGGCCAGAGTAGAAAACTATCTTAAGGTCAATCAAGTGAGAGAAGATAGCTTAAAAGCCGCCACCCTGCTGTGCGTTTGTGGTCAAGATGCATTTGAGATCGCTGAAAACCTAGCAGCACCTGCACCTCTAGAATCTGTTATCTACACAGACTTAAAGAAATTGCTAAAGGAACACTTCCAGCCCAAGTTGTCTGTCATCGCTTGGCGCCATACTTTTGAACAGAGGGACCAACGGGCTGGCGAATCAGCTAAAGAGTACATTGCTGCATTGAGAAAAGCCGCTAAACCTTGCGAGTTTAAAGATTTAGAAGAAAGGCTGAGAGATAGATTTGTATGTGGACTGAGACATAGAGAATTGCAGCAGAGACTTTTTGCTAAAGAAGACTTATCATTCCAAGATGCCTTGAGAGAGGTTACTGCAGAAGAGGCAGCAGGTGGCACAATCAAGAATATGAGGCCAATCAGAAGTACTCCAGAAGCTGTGTCTGTGCACCAGGAAGGAGTCCAAGAGAGCTCAGAAGAGGATCCTGATGAAAAAGTAGACTGTCTCTACCCAACGAAAGAAGGGAAGCAGAAGGAAGGCAAGGAAAGGTCTTCAGCTGTCCCCAAGTGCTTCGGGTGTGGAGGTCGCCACAAGAGGACCGACTGCAGATTTCGCTCTGCTATCTGTAGAGCATGTGGAAAGCAAGGCCATATTGCAGCTGTGTGTCTGGGCCGTCAGAAGGTACAACTCCGGGAAGAATTGCGCCTGAAAGGTACCAGGGTCCCCAGCCAAAACAGGGTGGGTTTCTGTGCTTCGCAAAGAAGCATCTATAGGACAGGCACACACAAGCCCATTAAGAAAAAACTGTCACTTAAAGTGAAGTTACAAGGGGTTCCATTGGTCATGGAACTGGACACTGGGTCTGCACTTTCAATCATTTCCATACATACATTCAGAAAGATTTGTTCTGGTAATGGATTTCAGGCCAAGCTTAGGCCTTCTGACATTGTGTTAACAGACTTTCAAAACTCCAGAGTGTGTGTTAAGGGGGAGGCCACCCTTAACGTACAGTATAAGGATTTTGAAGGTCCATTAGATGTATTGGTAGTAGGGGGTGAGCGAACGAGTCTCATAGGACTCGATTGGTTTGAGGCCTTGGGAATACATGTCACAGGGCTCAATAGCTTGCAAACAATAGACCTACAGGAAGTCTGCAAAGAATTTGCAGATGTCTTCAGCCCACAGCTGGGCACATACAAAGGACCCCCTGTGTCCTTAAAACTAGACCCCACTGTCACTTCTATTAGAATAAAAGCAAGAAGGGTCCCTTTTGCCCTAAAAGGGAAAATTGACACTGAATTGGACAAATTGATTCAGCAAGGAGTCTTAGAACCTGTTGACTCCAGTCCTTGGGAGACCCCCATTGTCACGCGTCTTAAGGCTAATGGGGACATTCGCATCTGTGCAGATTACAAATGCACTCTGAATAAGGCATTGCAGCAACATGCCTATCCTATACCTGTGGTCAGTCATATTCTGGCCTCCCTCAAGGGGGGGGTGTTTTTGCAAAGCTTGACTTAGCTCAGGCGTATCAACAGTTGCCTGTTGATGAAGCTGCTGCTGTAGCACAAACCATTGTAACCCACAGGGGGGCATTCAAGGTAAAGAGGCTACAATTTGGAGTAAATGTGGCTCCTGGAATTTTCCAAAGCGTAATGGAAAACACACTAAGGGGCATACCAGGGGTTTGCCCCTATTTTGATGATGTCTTAATTGCTGGAGACTCTACCCACAACTTAGCTGAGAGATTAAGGGCTGTTCTGCTGAGGTTCAGGAAAACGGGCCTCAAACTCAAGAAGGACAAATGTAAAATTGGGGTGCCTTCTACAGATTTTCTGGGATTCAAAATTGATGCCACTGGGATTCATCCTGCTGAGCCCAAATTAAAAGCTATAATGCGTGCTCCAAGGCCAGGGGTAGGCAACCCAAAACACTCAAAGAGCCACTTGGACCCGTTTCCCACCAAAAACAAAACACCAGGAGCCGCAAAACCCTTTTGATATCTAAAATGAAGATAACACTGCATATATACTTTTTACCTTTATTATAGGTGTGTGTGTGTGTGCACGTGTGTATGTATGTGTATATGTGTGTGTGTGTGTGTGTGTGTGTATGTATGTGTATATGTGTGTGTGTGTGTGTGTGTGTGTGTGTGTGTGTGTAGGTCTTTGGTTGTTCGGGTTTTCTCCCGCGTAAAATTGGAAGTGTCTTGGCGACATTTCGACGAAGTCCCATTCGTCATCTTCAGGCTCGTGTTTTCAGCTTCGTGCTTTGAGCAGCAATGTGTGGTCTTAGCTGTTTCTTCCTTTTAACTGCCAGTGGGGGTATGAACTGATTGGGTGGGAGCTTGGCTGTGTTCTGATTGGGTGGAGGTGTGTTCTGAATGGTTAGGGGCTTGGCTGTGCTCTGATTGGCTGGGGGAGTGTTCTGTTTGGTTGTGCTCAGGTTAGTCTGAGCTGCAGAGGGGTTTAAGATTTTGGGCTGCCTTGCTATTCCTTGGCTTTGCGTTCGTGGTCGTGCCTCCTCTTCATGGAGGGTGTCAGTTTGCTTCATGTATGGATTGGAGGGGTTTAAAGTGGCTAATGATGCAGCTGTGGTCTGGCTTCTGGTTTGTGGTCGTGCCTTGTCATCGGTGTGGCTTTGGGTTTGTTTTTTGCGTGGATGTGTGGTGGTGACATCCTGTGTGGTTTTTGTGAGTGTGGGTCTGGTATCATTTTTTGTGTTAGGGAGTCGTTTGTCAATAAGGGCGGGTTTCCAATGGCTGGTAGGCGGGAGGTATCATCTCGCTTGTTCATGCTGTGTGGGCGTTTTTCTATCTCGATGGCTTCTCTGATTATTCTGTTATTAAAATGTTCACTTTTGGCAATGGTTCTGGTATTTTTAAAGTCAATTTCATGTCCTGTGGCTTTAAGGTGTTGGACCAGGGAAGATGTTGGTTCCTCTTTTTTGACTGAGTTCTTATGTTCTTCAATGCGTGCACTTATTCTTCTGTTGGTTTGTCCGATGTATGTGGTGGGACAAGTGGTGCATGGGATTTCGTATACTCCTTGATTTTCTAATTCAATTTTATCTTTGGGGTTTCTAAGGATGGTGGATATTTTTCTGTTTGTGCAGAATGCTGTTTTGATGTTGTGTTTATGGAGGATCTTACTGATTCTCTCTGTGGTGCCTTTTATGTATGGGAGGAGGGCTTTGCCGTTTTCTTGTTCTTAGAACTTAGAACTTATAACACAGTATGGGAATGTTTCTGGTTTTAAAGTCAACAATTATAAGACTAAGATATTATCTAAGAATATGTCAGTTAAGGATAGAGAAAGTTTGGTCAAAGCTACAGGTTTCCAGATGGTAAAAAAGATTAAATATTTGGGAATATATTTAACTGCTTCAAATGGAAAATTGTATAAGAATAATTATGAACCATTATGGGTAAAAGTACAAAAGGACTTAAAAGACTGGAAAAAATTGCAATTGTCATTGTTGGGGAGAATGTCAGCTGTAAAAATGAATGTTCTACCAAAGTTCCTTTTTTTGTTTCAGATGATACCTATTTTAAAAAAAAGAGGCAAATTTGGATGAATGGCAAAAGGGCATCAACAATTTTATATGGGCCGGAAAGAAACCAAGGGTTAAGTTTAAGATTTTACAGGATGCTCGAGAAAGAGGAGGACTTAAGGCACCTAACTTGAAATTATATTATGATGCAGCCGCCTTAACTTGGTGAAGTGATTGGCTTAATTTAACAAATAAGGATACTTTTTGGGGGGAAGGTTGGGATTTAATATATGGTTGGCATGCATACTTGATTTTTAATAAGAAAGTTGATCGGACTTTTAAATCACATATTTTGAGGAATGCCCTACTTCGTGTTTGGAAAAAGTATTATTACAGATTAAATTATAAAAT